TTTTATACTTTCACTTTCATTTATAAGTGATGCTAAATTTTTTGGAAAAGCACACTATGTTCAATCATATCATTGCTATCTAACACATATATTGTGCTGCTCCATAAAATTTCATAGAATAATTATATCAAAACTTTTCTTTATGCAGCTTCTCCATCTATTTTAGTATTTAACTTCCTGATAAATAAATAACTGGGAAGTTTATACACTAGCAGTTTCTTAGTAGCAGAGCATAGTACAAATGTCATAAATCTGACAACAGGTTGAGGATATAAACTTTTTTCAGTGAGAAATAAAGAAACAACTGCAGATAAATCTTCCAATAGTATCATTTTTATCAAAGATTACCTATCAGTATAGACTATCATATAGGATTTGAAAGAAAACAAAAATATTTAGATTGAATTGTTAAACACTCTGGATTCCAAAGTACCACTCTGCTCAGTGGGAGTGACAGGGATGTTTTGGAGTCAGACAAAGAGTTGGAGAATGTTTCAAATGGCCATGACAGAGAACCGGAGCTGAGCAAACCAGAGAATCATGAGAGATTTCTCCTGCTGCTCCGAGATTCCTGTTATGGGCAGAGACCAGTTACAGAGGCCCCAGTGTGTTCATTCAGGGACTTTTCCTACAAGTCTAGATTTAGTTGGAGAGAAGGCAGTTGAGTTGGACTAATTCAATGGTTTAGCTAACTATTATAATTTTTATTTACTTATTTGAAAAGCAGAGAGAGAGAGATCCCCCATTCACTGGTTCACTCCCACATGCCCACAACAGCTGGAACTCCAATGTGGGAGGCAGGAACTCAACTTCTTGAGTCATCACTTGTTGCTTTCCCAGGATGCAAATTAGCAGGAAACCAGAATCAGGAGTGGAGCCTGGACTCAAAGTTGTCGCTCCCCCTCTTCGTGGAGGAATGACACTAAACCCTGCCTAGGCTTCATATCCGAGTCACAGCACCATTATGTCGCTCCCCCTCTTCACGGAGGAACGACACAGGACCCTGCGCTGTTCTTTTGTCTGCTCGGCCCTCCCCGGGTTTGCTGCTGGTTCTTCCCGGGTTGGCTACCAACCCTTCCACCTCCGTGGAAGGGCGGTTCCCCCTGCCACTTTCCCCACCTCCGCGGGGGAGCAGCACACCGCCGGCCGGCTCTCTCGGGGGCTGCACAGGTGTTCCCTTAGATGTTCCTAGTGCATGCCATCTCTCTCCTCCTTTATAGTCCTCCTCCGCCAATCCTAACTCGGCTGCCCACACGCCGAGTACGCTGCTCTCCTCCAATCAGGAGCAGGATCAGCTCCTGGAGGTCATCACTCAAGTTGGCAAGAGGCAGCTGCGTAGAAGCTGTTTTCTTCTCTCTCAGCGCCATATTGTGGGAGAGCAGATGCATAGAACAAGTCTTAATTCCAGTAACTTAGTCCAGTCCGGGTTGCTCCCCACAAAAGTCAGGTACTTCAATACAGAATGCGGGCATCCCAAACCATGTCTTAACTGCTGTACCAAATGCTTACAACTGGCTCATTTCTTTATCCAAAAAAGAATCAGAAAAATTACAACTATCTTTGCTTTGTGATGAATGCAAAAGAAAAAGAAACCAAACGCCAAAAATGACTCCAGGAGAGTTGACCTAGTCAAGAGCTCTCACTGAGGGCTTACTTCACATTTGAACACATCACTGCCACACTGACCTAGCAATCTTTGTCTCCAAGTCCATCATTCCATCAAACTAGGAACAGAAAACCCTCCTTAAACAGCTTTTATTGTTCTTCAAGTCTTTCTCTGTGTTTAGAAAGAAATAATTGAGCTTTGGATTTTTCGATCAGTGAAGATCTTTAATTTTTATACTTTGGAATGGCCCATTAAGGAATGAAAAATGTGTTTAATCAAGTGGCCTCAGCACATTGTTCAAGGTCTGTATTATCCACGTCTTTACCTAAGGAAGATGGAACATAATGATTGTTTCAATGAGAAATCTATCCACAATCCCTTAATGTTAACTGAGGTTGATCTATATATATTTATATTTGATTACACACTTGAAGGTCAGGGCTCCCTCATGTGTTGAATAAACATACATGAGTGGTGTTGATGCATAGCAAATGGTCTATTTTATGGAAACTACGACACAAATGCTCATTTTGTTCACATTCAGTGTTTTTTTTTAATCCCTGTATAAAAGTAGCTTTGTTTTTAAATAAACCACTTTAAAAGTTCTCATCTGGCCTATGAATAAATGTTTCAGACATGCTTTGATTATCAAGAGGGTCATCAGCATATAGACTCTGACAATGACTGATTTCCTCTGATAAGGCTGCAGATTTTTGATGAGCAAAATGACTAAACATAATGAAGCCATTTTATGCTTGTAAATACATTACTCCAGCTCTTCAAAAGCACCAAGAAATGTCCTTCATGAGACATGGTTTAGAAGAATCACAGAAATTAAGAGCTGGGTGAGACTAAATGGGTCTTCTCGCACCTGCTATTTCACAGAAAAAGTACAGAACTGACTCATGCAGTACATTTATTTTTTTCACACTGGATTATTGTTCCCTTCAGTGCAGTAAAGCATTATAATAGACAACAGAGTCAGCTTATATGGCCTGAATCAAAAGGTCAGCATTTCTTGCCACTAAAAGACTAGCACTAAATCAAAAACACTTTTTTTTTCTCTGCAAGAGAAGTAAATATTCTGAGTCTTGAAATTTGTTCAAAATTTCTAATATGCAGATAAGGTAGGGCATGGATTATCCATGACACAAGTAGATTTTTTAAACAAGTGGTTGTACAATTATGACCTTTGCTAGAAATGTCAGGAACAGGAAGGTCCAAAACACACGTGCGTGCATGTGTACATACACACACACACAGAATGAATCCTCCAAACCTTAGCCCAAAACATTCTTATCACTATGCAATTATATTTTAAGAACAAGCAGAGAATGGAAGTGACATAAAGCAACTTCACCTTTATCTACATGAACAAAGAGTAAACCATAATAAAAATGTATGGTAGAGATACAGGCAAGAAAAAGAATAAAGGATGTAAGATAGACGTCTCATAGAAACTGTGAGAGTCTAGAGGAAACGCCTTTACATCTCTTCCCTGGTGCCTGTTTACTTTTTACTACCAAATATGCTAATCATGGTATGTACTTAGGTTTTGTGCTTAGCTGTCTCTGTTCACATATATAACCTTGTATTAACAAAAATCCAGAGGAAGACATAAAGTAAATCATCCTCCAGATGTGACACATTTACACATTTTCTCACATTCCTTTCCTGGCTAGAGTGCTCATAGTTGAATATAAAAGTGCAAGAAAGAGAGGATCCTAGTTACTGCAGTTTTAAATCATCTTACTCTATAACTGTTTCCTTCCATCTCACTTCTAGAACCCTCATCTCAGTAATTCTGACTCTATTTACAAGTTAAATCCAATGATCCTATCATGTTTTCACTACTCATTCAACTTAGAATCTGTGCTCTATCAGCCTAGTTCTCCAAATATGCCTTGAAAGACCGCGATCTTCTCTGCCTCATTCAAAATCACCTGGAAAAATTCCAGGCCTGGTTAATCCTAGTATTCTGCACAGCTTCAAAGAGCTGAGCATGGCTAGAGAGAGCCCATAACCTCTATGACTGGTTTCATTTTAAAATTATGACCAAATAATCCAACTGAGTTGCCTGAAATCTTAACATATTTTCCTAATTTATTCCCTATTCCATGCTCTGAGAAAATAGATAATTCCTCCTTGCCTACTTTCCTTTGTCTAACATCCAAATTCTCACCTAACTACTTTACGTCATTTAAGTGATTACCTAAATACCATTTTCTCAGAGAAATCTTAACGCTGGATCTAAAATAGCCTTATCCATCACCCTCTATTTCCTTACTTTGCTTAAAACAACTACCTCATGCCATATTCACAATATACAGATGTATGTATACACACACACACACACACACACACACAGACGTATAAGGGTACTTCAAAAAGTTCATGGAACATGAAATTAAAAGGTGAGTTAATTTTTGTCCAAAATTGTTTTAAATTCATGCACTGTTTTTAATAAAACTCAATTTTTCACGAACACTTTGAAGACCACTTGTATGTATGGGTTTCATATTTTTTGCACCAAAGTAAACTTATTTTAAAATTTCATTTCCATGAACTTTGTGAAGTATTTATGCACTGTCTGCTTTCCTTACTAGATCATAAACTCCATAGAGAGAAGGAATTTTTCCTGTTCACCCTCATCTTCTGATGACACAGAATCTCTCAACCTTGGCATTATTGACATTTTGTGTTAAATTAATTTTATTGTGAAAGCTGTCCTGTGTATTGTAGGATGTTTAACAGCATACATGGCCTTTACTCCGGTACATGCCAGTAGTATCCACTTAGTTACAGCAACTATAAATGTCTCCAGGTATTTACAAATGTCCCCGGGGTCAATGTGGGAGCAAAATCTACCCTGGTTGAGAACCACTTCTCTAACACAATGTCTGGCCACAATAGGTGCTAAGTAAACATTTATTGAATGAATGAGTAAATAACCAAACCACAGGACAGAAAACATCCCAAGAAGCAACACAATTTATTGTTCTAATTCCCAGCAAAACTATATCTGAACTTTGCCAGCAAAAATGAATTTATCTTATTTTGATGACATCTGAAGAGAAAACAAAAGATTTTATACCAAAGTTATCAACCTCAACTCCAAGTTATACTCACAACATGGGGGAGCTCAGCAAAACTGTTGATGCCAGGCCCCTCTCTATACCAATTAAACCAGCATCTCATGGGATGGGGGGGGGGGCTAACATATTTTTTTTGCAATCTCCTCCTCTGATTCTGGTTTGCAGCCAGGGTTAGTATCCCTGTTCTTTTCAATCCTCCAAAGACTAATTCCATAGCCTGAGAATTCTCATCATCAGGACATTTTTTCCTCACACATGAGCATTAGTGATCAGTGACTCTGAAATGGAAGAAAGCATACCTCAGCATCATCTACTTCCTGCTCCATTTATGGGCCTTCTGTTCATCCATGTTCATCCTAAGTAAGGTAATTTAAAAATTAGTGTTCTATTCTTGATAATTCTAGTAATTAGAAAAAAATGTATTATCTTGCAATCTATTTGTTATAATGAGTTGTGCTGTGGGAGAAAATTCATTCTGTCACACCCATTATTACAAAGGTCTTGAAAAAATACTGTGTGAGAGTCTTGACTTACTGTGCTAACAATCTAGAAACAAAATGATTATAAAGAAGCTGATGGCTAGAACATAATCTGTAAGGAAGCAAGGTTAACATTACACATTGGAGAGTTCCATCAATATTTACCTAATATATGATGGTCTACTAATGACAACATTCACAAGTTTAAGTGTTTTCAAGTATACAAAGATTTCTATTTCCTAAGTAGTACTTTATAATTTGATAAATGAACTCTAGTTCTCAAAGATGTATAGTTCTGAAGCAAAATAAATATTTTCCAATCCTAGAGGAGGTTTCTTAAGGGAGTATGTGTCTCTGTGACTTGAAATTGAAGGACTGTCAGCTAAAAATCAAATAGACATAATACCTATCATCATATTACAATCACTATTCAAAAGAATAATGCTAATTAAATTCCCTAAGCAAGATAATGTGGTTTACACAAAATTTTGTTTGTGCTTCAAAGTAATATATGTTCTGTAATTATTGTGTTCAGAATTCTTTATATATGTGTCAAATAAACAAAATTTTTAACAAAAAAACTTTTCCTTTAGTTTTACTCTATAAGAGGCATCCTTGACTTATCAAAGCATAACATTGCTTGGTAATTTTACCCATTTCCTGGACAATGAAAGAATTTCTGAACACCTTAACTCAATTTATCCTCCTCTCAATGCATAAGCTATCATTATCTTGCACTTTAATTAGGGATATAAGTTAAATTTCCCAAGATTTTGTTATCATTGTTTCATGCAGTTTGTAAAAATTAAATGTACCTTTTAATTACTCATTTATTCCTGTATGGCTCAAATTTCTATCTAGAACCATTTGTCTTTTGCCAGAAGAGTGTTAGTATTTCTTGAAGTACACTTCTGCTAATAACTAAATGTCTCCATTTTTATTTGCCTAACATGTTTAAAATTTCATCTTCATTTTTGAAGGGTACTGTTGTTGGTTAGACATCCTAAGTTCACAAATATTTTCTGTCTATATTTTGAAGGTGTTGAGTACATTGTCTCTGAAGGCAAATACATTGATTCTCAGTTTCCACTGTTTCTGTGAAAAGTCAGCTATCATTCTTCTTTCATTTGGAAGAAAATTTGTTTTAAGGCAGATATTTTAGAGCTGTTCTTTTTCTTTTGATTATCTGAGATTTTACTGTGATGTGCCAAAATATGAGTTTTATTTTATTTTATTCATTCTGCTTGGGGAACATAAGGTTCTTGTGTCTGTGGCTTGTGATCTATACTATGTTTCCTCTGCTTGCCTCTCTCTCTCTGCCTTGGGAAGCTGACTATATGGATGCAAATGGTTCCTGTGCACTCTGGTTTCTGGTAGGTTAAACCAATGAGGCACACTGGTAGACGATAAGAGGGAGGGAGAAGGGATGGGGATAATTTTTCCCTTGGTTCCCTGTGTGGGAGGTCACCTTGGGTTTTCTGTATCTATTAACAAAAGGTTACTGTTCCCCTCAGTGTGGCCTTGTATTCACAACTACTTAAACCTTTCTTTCTTCTTAAATTTCTGGTCTTAGAAGTCATGACTGCTCCACTGTTGCTAGCCCTGGGTTCTTGCTGTTCACCTGCCCAGACCTTTGTAATTAGTCCTTTTGTAAATGAATAGTCTTCAATTTATGCTAACTTGAGTGTGTCATCTGCTTCATCTTGGCAACTTGACTGAGATAGGAACTGGCACCAAAAGTAGCCGGTGATGGTTAATTTCATTCACTTGGCTGGGCCGCAGTGAATGTTTGTGGTTAGGATTTATATTTAAATCAGTGGACTCTCAGTAAAACAGCTTATCCTCCATAGTGAAAGAAGGCCTCACCTAATTAGATGTATACCTGAACAGAAAGACTGACCTCCCCAGAGTGGAACAGAATCCTCCAGACTTCATCTGCAACATTAGTTCTTCCTGGTTCTATAGAAAACAGCTTTCAGATTCTGACAGCAACTCTGTCCTGTCCTGTCCACCCCATGGGTTTTGGATTTGCCCGGGCTTCACATTTCCTACAATAATTAGCTCATATATACACATATACTAGATATCTTGTTGGTTCTGTCTCTCTGGAGAATCCTAATACAGGATAGTTGGAAACACAGCCACTTGAAGTAGATTCTCAAAATGAAGTTATGGAAATGGGTTGTTCCTATATTGAAGCACATGAATAATCTTCTCATTAAGAAGAAATGGGGGCCAGCGCCGCGGCTCACTAGGCTAATCCTCCGCCTTGTGGCGCCGGCACACCAGGTTCTAGTCCCAGTTGGGGCGCCAGATTCTGTCCCGGTTGCCCCTCTTCCAGGCCAGCTCTCTGCTGTGGCCCAGGAAGGCAGTGGAGGATGGCCCAGGTCCTTGGGCCCTGCACCCCATGGGAGACCAGGATAAGTACCTGGCTCCTGCTATCGGATCAGCGCGGTGCGCTGGCCGCAGCACGCTGGCCACAGCGGCTATTAGAGGGTGAACCAACGGCAACTCTCTGTCTCTCTCTCTCACTGTCCACTCTGCCTGTCAAAAAAAAAAAAAAGAGAGAGAGAGAAGAAGAAGAAGAAGAAATGGGCACAAGCAGTCCATGGGATAAGGTGACATCAAGAGTACTCACTTTGGCCGGCGCCATGGCTCACTAGGCTAATCCCCCGCCTGCGGCGCTGGCACACTGGGTTCTAGTCCTGGTTGGGTGCCGGATTCTGTCCCGGTTGCTCCTCTTCCAGTCCAGCTCTCTGCTGTGGCCCGGGAGTGCAGTGGAGGATGGCCCAAGTGCTTGGGCCCTGCACCCGCATGGGAGACCAGGAGGAAGCACCTGGCTCCTGGCTTTGGATCGGCGCAGCGCGCCGGCCACAGCACACCGGCTGTAGCAGCCATTTGGGGGGTGAACCAACGGCAAAGGGAAGACCTTTCTCTCTGTCTCTCTCTCTCTCACTGTCTAACTCTGCCTGTCAAAAAAATAAAAAAAAAAAAAGAGTACTCACCTTATCACCAGATGATGAAATGCAGGTGGAAGGCAGCACAGTGGAGGTCAAGTGACTGTAGCACTTAGTCTTGATGGCAGCCAAGTTTCTAATAAATAGTGTGGAGTCATCTGGTATCTTGTTATAGCTTTAGAAAACACAGAGGAAGGAAATATAAAAGTTGTGAAAATAAAATGAAGGACATTCATCAAAACACTAGAAGGCCTCCATGGTAGGTTTAAAAGAGTCCCTCAGGACTAGTACTATGATACAGCAGGTTAAGCTGCCCCTTGTCAAGCCAGGACCCCATATAAGTGCTGGTTCCAGTCCAAGCTGTTCCACTTCTGATCCAGTTCACAGTTAATATGCTTGGGAAATCAGTGGAAGATGTCCCAAGTATTTGGGACCCTGCCATCCACGTGGAAGACCAGGATAGAGTACCAGGCTCCTGACTTTGGTGTGGACCAGCCCCAGGCTTGTGGGCATTTGTAGCATGAGCCAGTGAATAGAGGATCTCTCTCTCTCTCCCTCCGTCCCTCCCTCCCTCCCCTCCTCCCTCCGTCTCTCCCTCTTTCTCATTCTGCCTTTAAAATAAAATAAATAAATAAATCTAAAAAAGAAATAAATGGAGCTTAAGAAATAAAGAAAAGGAAGGAGTCCCTTATATCTTGCAGTTAAGCAATATCACATTGATATATTACATTGATGGTATTAGATGAACTTGTAATCACAGGGTAGTAGATGTGGAGCCTAAAATGTTCTGCTTGACATATAAAAGAGGCCTGTCATCTACTTATTATTTGTGACAATAATTTGAGCATATGACCACCTGAAATCAAAAACATTATTCATGACTCAGTGTCCTTCATATACAATGATGGAGTTAAAAAGTTAAAGTGGGGGGGGGGGCAGTGCTGTGGTGTAGCGGGCAAAGCCCCTGTCTGTAGTGCCAGTTTGAGTCCTGGCTACTCCACTTCTGATCCAGCTCTCTGCTATGGCCTGGGACAGCAGTAGAAGATGGCCTAATAGCTTGGACCCCTGTACTCACGTGGGAGACCCAGAAGATGCTCCTGGCTCCTGGCTTCAGATCGGCACAGCTCCAGCCATTGTGGCCATCTGGGGAGTGAACCAGCGGATGGGAAATCTCTCTCCCTCTGCCTCTGCGTCTCTGTAATTCTGCCTTTCAAATAAATAAATAAATATTTAAAAAAAGGTTAAAGTGGGGGAGTGCAAGGAACAGAACAGGTGCTGTAGTCACTGCCTCTGTAGCTGGGCAGGAGTAGCAGTAGAAGACTATTGAAACCTCCAAATTTGATTTGGGGGAGCAAAAACGAAAATCGGTTGTGGTAGGCTGGGTCATTAAATCCCCCCGACATGATGTCTGCCTCAATCCCCATAACCTTTGAATGCGTTGCTGTACCTGGCAAAAGGCATTTTAGAGTTGATTAAGAGTCACATAGAGGAGACGTGGGGATAGAAGCACAGGTCAGAGAGGAGAGAAGATGCTGTTGTGTTTGGAAGGAGTCATGAATCAAAGAACCCAGTCTCCAGAAGCTGCAAGCAGCAAGGAAATAGATTTCTCATAGAGTTTCAGGAGGAACACAGGTTTAGGGACTCATTTTAGACTTCTGACCCTCAGAACTCTGAGACAGTAAGTTTGTCCAATGCTGTTTTACCCTACTAACTTTGTGGCAATTTGTTACATCAGCAGTAGAAAACTGAAAAGGTGGTTAAGAATTTGAAATCTTCCATCTGCTTACTCCCAAATGCCCACAACAGCTCAGGCTGGGCCAGGAGGAACCCAGGAGCCTAGAACTTCTTCCAAGTCTCCCATGTGGGTTGCAGGATCCCAGGTACTTGAGCCATCATCTACTACCTCCCAGGATGCATTAGCAGGGAGATGGATCAGAAACAGAGGAGCTGGGACTCAAACCCAGACTCCAGTATGGAATGTGGAAACACCAAGAGGTGCCTTAACCCCTGATGTGGCAAAACCTTAACAATTGTTAAATCTTTTGCTCCTCTTCCAGTCCAGCTCTCTGCTGTGGCCCGGGAGTGCAGTGGAGGATGGCCCAAGTCCTTGGGCCCTGCACCCCAATGGGAGACCAGGAGGAAGCACCTGGCTCCTGGCTTCAGATCGGCGCCATGCGCCAGCCACAGTGCCCCGGCTGCAGCTGCCACTGGGGGGTGAACCAACAGAAAAGGAAGACCTTTCTCTCTGTCTCTCGCACTGTCCACTCTGCCTGTCAAAAAAAAATTGTTAAATCTTAAAAAATATTAAAAAAAAAAAAAAAGAACTCGAGCTCTACTCTCAGACCATAGTACTCAAGTTTAAGCCCCTCTCCTACTACTTACTGTATATATGACCTTGGACAAGCTACTTAGTTCTTTGAACTTCAGTTTCATCTCAAAAACATAGATGATAGAAGAAATCGGAATTCTTCTGAGGTTTTGAGAGAATCTTTAAAGTCATCTGGAATTTAGTAATTTTCAGTAAAAGTAGTTGTTCTTCTGCAACAACGTATAATTATGTTATTTGCTCCTTCCCTGCCATGTTATATATTTCATTCTACAGTTATAGAAGTTTTTAAAAGGGCCCCGCACACGTTTTTGTATGAGGAAACAAGCTATGGGAAGATAATTTTTCCAAGTAACCGGAAGTGGACAAATCGAAGTGGCTTGTATTTAATATACTTATTTACTAGATAATGATGAAAGGACAAGTTATGTGCAAATAACCACAGCAGTAGGCACTAAACCAAAGCAGTAGGTCTAGACCGAGTGACACCGGGTTACCCCATACGACCCACACTGGCACCACGTCTAGCTCTTTACCATACATCCTTTGTTTCCAGAAAGGCTGGAGGCAGCGAGAAAGAGGCGCTGCTTCGAAAGGCAGTAGTCACTGTGCAGCTTCACTCTCCAGAAGTAGCCGCGGCGCCTGCCGCGCCCCGAACCCGCCGTGTGTTCTCAGCACCATGACGACACAGAGGCGGGGCCTGCGTGGCGGAAGGCGCCAGAGCATAAAGGGGGCGGGGCCTCCCCGAGGCCAGTGCGCGGCCGCAGAGTCTGAGCCGCCCGTCGCTCCGCCCCCTGGGAGAGTCGGCGCCACCATGGAGGAGTATCACCGCCACTGCGACGAGGTACCGCCCCTCGGCTACTTGCGAGACCCCCCCTCCCGCCCCTGTGCTTCTGGCCCGGGGGTCGTGGCTGGGTGGTCTCCTGGTGCCGGACGGCCACGAGAGTTGGGGTGCGGCGTCCTCCGAGGCCGAGTCCTTTCCGCAGAGCCGGGGGTCCGCCCCGCCGGTGTTGGTCCTCTTATTCCGAGGTCCTGAGGATGGGCTACGAGACCCGGTAGCAGGGACGGCCTGGAGCACTCGGGGCGAGCAACGGGGTCGGAGCCGGGGTGAGGGTGTAGGAGACGGCTGACTTGGGGTGTGTGGGATGGGCGTAGGGTTGCGGGCTCCGCCCATCTGCCGGGCCGACCTTGGAAACCGGTCTTCCCGCTGCTTCCTCCACTCCTTGGAGTCCCCCAGAGTAGGTTCTGCAGCCCCACAGCTCGGGCACAGTGCTCCTTCTCCCGGGAACACTGCCTGGACGGAATGGAAGGAGATGCTTTCCGGATTAGGAGCTCTTGCTTACTGAGTCAGGTTTCCCTAGTCCTCGCCAGAACCCCGTGATGACAGTTGTTATCTTGCTGTTACTGAGGGGAACTCTCAGTTCATGGCGGTTAAGAGACTTGCCCTAAGTTAACATTGCCAGAAACAACAGATGCTCGATTTGAACCCAGGCCTCTGACTCGACAACTAAGATCTTACTTCACTGTAACCACTAGGAGGATGAGGCCTACTGGATCGCAGCATAACTTGGGACGGCTTGCAAGAGCAGAATAAACGAAGTTGTTTTCTGTCCGGTGGATGGTACAGGAAAATTAAAGTAGGCACTTACTGTACAGGCAATGTTAGATCTCGGGAAGGGCTTGTGGTCCCGTGGGAATCTTCGGGATGTGGGCCTCTGCAGAAGCTGTGATACGGGGAGGCGTGCATCCTTACAGGTCAAGGATAAAGAATTCTAATTTTAGAACCGAAGACTTGAGGCCCAGGAATACCGTGGCTGGCTCACCCTCAGGCATATCTCACAGTAATGGCTCAGAGGAGCTATTTTCTGCAGTACTTCCTACATATGTATATTTTAAAAGAAAGAAAATGGTCTGTGTTGCCATGGCCACCCTGCACATCCAGATTATTAGATGACTTTCCAGACTGAAGTGAAATGAACATCATTTGATTCATAGGCCACTTTTTAAAGTAGATAAGGACCTGATTTGAACATAGAAAGGATAATTTTAATGAGGTCAAAATCTCTCTTTTCATAGTGTTCCTAAATACCTTTTGTTGTTGGAAAATTCTGTGGGGCAATTAAATTACTCAAAAAAATTTAAATCTATACTCAAAATTATTTAATTTCAGAATGTACTTGTTTCAACTAATTTTAAATTATATAGTAGTTTTTACAAAAATGCTGATGACATAAAGCACATCAAAACATCTTCATGGAAACAATCATGTATTACCTGAAGTATCTTGGTTTAGATTTCAGTCTTATCACATAACGCAGTTCTATATTCCAGGATATTTAGATGTCATTGATCATTGCTGTTAATTCAAGATTCCAACAAGGTACTCTAAAGAAAAGGTGAAGTTGTCAGTCTCATTTATAGTATTAAAATGGTATTAATTTTTAATGATCAAGTATTTCTATAACGTTTAATTCTGGAAAGCCACATTTTTGCCTTGCATACATTGAAAATAAAATTGAAAATAATCTATTAAGTACTCCCTTCTTGTGGGCCCTGTTTATTCTCTCGCTTGGCTGAAACTCTTTCCTGCTTATTTCCTGACCTTTACAGTACAATGATTCTCAATCTAGGGTATTTATCAGGCTCACTGGCATAAAGTACTTTTCAAAAGAGATATAGTTGCCTATGCTGTGCTCCAGACCTGATGAATCAGAATCTCTAGTGAGGTAGATGGGGAAGACATTCTGTGTTTTTAAGTGTCCAGAATAGGACTGGCAGCCTCAATGGACCTGATGCTTCTTATCACTCATGGTCTCCTGTCACTGACACCTTTCTAGGTTAGCCTAGGGTATTCTGTGTAGCAACATAGCTGCCAAAAACGGAAGCCTGTGTTGAAAATACTTTTGTCTTTTGTTTTCTATTAGGTTGGCTTCAATGCTGATGAAGCCCACAATATTGTCAAAGAGGTGAGTTAATAAGTTGTATCCATCTTGAAGTTTGTGCCATTAATGGAAATTTTAAAAAGCTGTTTTTTGACTTTCAGTGTAAAGTTAGAAGCATATTGTTAAAACAATAGTATTTTAGATATTTATTCACTAACTCTTTATAGGGGTGCTTCCATGTTTTGTTATATGCTATTAGGCATTTGGGGTATACTCTGAAAGGGATACTTAAGAACTTTCATATTCTAGAAAGGTGATTTACTGTTTTCTAAAATTGATGCTTTCTGATTTGAATAAAATAATTTTTATTTTAGTAGGCTAAACATTATTTTAAGTAGTACTGTTATAAACATGTGCATGTGTGTATACATATATATACATGATTTTTATAATATAAAGCATATGTATAATATGTGAGACTACTTCAGAGTTCATGAAAAATGGAATTAAAATATAGATTTATTTTGTTGCAAAACTTTGAAACCCATATATATATATGAGGAGTCTTTAAAAAGTTCATGAAAATATGTATTATGAAAAAACTATGCATGAATTTCAATTTTTTTGCACCTAAACAAGCTTGTCTTTTAATTCTATTTTCCCATGAACTTGTCGAAGTATCCTTGTATATGTGTATTTCGTCAAATATGTATAAGGCCCTAGATATGTCTGCTTTTGGACATTGCATGCTTTTAGCCCAATATAATTGGAAAAATAGTCAATGCCTTTTAGATACCAATACAATGGTAAATCAAAATCTTAAGAAAACTATTTGAAACATGAAATCTGATCCTCCTCCTGCGAGGCAAATGGAAAAGAAGTTCTTTCTGGGAACCAGTTGTGACTGAGGAACTTTGATTATTCTCTTGGAATCACATACAGCCTTCACTGTGGGTAAGGTGGTTGTGAACACTTTAATGGTCCTGAGTCATCTTTAACTTTGCCAGATCCCAGGGAAAAAACTGAGTTGGCCTAGCAGGCAAGTTTATATTGTGGATATATCTGTTAGGACCTATGTCCTGGCACGTCCCGATTGTGTTAAGCCCAGGCTCAGTGGGCTCTGCCCTCTTATTTGGTTCCCATCATCAGTGCCTCACCTGCCTGGAGACACTGAGGCACCAGCTCCCCCAATAACTCATCTAGGTTTGGCCTCATAGGGCTAGGATCAACTCAAGTTCTGTGAGAGCTAGACGGGTACCTGAAAATTGTGCCATATTTTTCTAGCTCAGAATCATATGTTAGAACTATATAACCCAGGGATATTTAATGATTAAAAACAGAATGCAATTTTTTTAATACCTTGACAATGCAAAAGCACAAATGAGGGAAATTGGAGGCTGGAAGAGGGAGTGGAGGTAATGAGAAGGACAGGAATGATAATACTCTCATTTTTCAAAGTGAAAGTCCAGAGAGACTATCCTTAGTGAGTGGAACAAGAAAAGTATGCTTGGGTTTGAATAAGGCCTCCTCCCTTACTCAAATTCCAAACTAAAGGAAAAGACAGAAGAATCACTAGAAAGAACAAAATATCTCTTTACTGATTGAAAACTAGAATGGCAATTGTAGCTTCTTTTAACTCCCTCTCAGTTCAGACCTTCAAAGAAGCATCCAAGAAAATGAGTCAGCAGAAGAGACACTTGCCTAAGCTGGTGCCTTTCAATTGAGTAGAGAAGGAAGGAGAAACTCCCAAGTCCAGGATGCTTGGGAGATTCGCTCTCTCAAATGAGAATGGTGGAACAATGGTTGTAACTCACCCACTAGTAAACTCGTTCCATCTCCATGTACACAAGACCAGCAATGTTAAATAAAAAAATTCTCCTTGTAGGAGAAAACATTGGGAATGGAAAAGAAACATGTTCCTCACGGCGTCTATATACTGAAGTAAAAATAGTGAATTCACGTTTTTGAGAGAAGAGGGTAGGAGGAAGGTGGAAGGTGGTTTCAGGGGAATAAATTTCCATCTGTATTATACAGGAGTTCTATGGATGTTGTCTATAACTCAAATTGAGAAATTGTGATATAAACAATATTTGTAGACACATAAGTAATCTTGGGAAGAAATGAAAATGGGCAGTTGTACACTAAAGGTGTTTTTCTTTGGGGAATGGAAGTGACTATAGGAAAGGAAAGGGTGCAGAAGGAACTCCTTTTTTATTGTAAGCTATTCTGTTCTGGTGAATTTTTTTAAAACTGTATGTTTGTTACTTTTTTTTATTAGGAAATTCATGCTTTTTAACCTGAAATATACATAGTGGGCAGTGCCTAGGAAACCGCTGGATGTACTTTTTAAATTTATTTTTATTTTAAAATATTTTAACAGACATTTAACATTGTACATATTTGTAGATTACCATGTGGTGTTTTGATATGTATATATACTGCATAATGTCCAATTAGAATAAATGTATCCAGTTATTCTTAGGTGTTTAAATTTTTACTGAAAAGTGATCCCTGTTAAATATAAGAGTGGGAATAAGAGAGGGAGGAGATGTACAATTTAGGACATGCTCAATCGGACTTGCCCCAAATGGTGGAGTTAGAAACGTGCCAGGCGATTCCAATACAATCCCATCAAGGTGGCATGTACCAATGCCATCTCACTAGTCCAAGTGATCAGCTTCAGTTCACAATTGATCACACTGATAGGTCTAAGAGTCAAAAGGATCACACAAATAAGACTAGTGTCTGCTAATACTAACTGATAGAATCAAAAAGGGAGAGAACGATCCAACATGGGAAGCAGGATACACAGCAGACTCATAGAATGGCAGATGTCTTAAACAGCACTCTGGCCTCAGAATCAGCCCTTAAGGCATTCAGATCTGGCTGAAGAGCCCATGAGAGTATTTTAGGCATGGAAAGCCAAGACACTCTGGCAAAAAAAAAAAAGGAAGACCTAAATGAAAGATCTCTGCGAGTGAGATCCCAGTGGAAAGAATGGGTCATCAAAGAAGGAGGTACCTTTCTCTGAAGGGAGGAGAGAATTTCCACTTTGACTATGACCCTGTCGGAATAAGATCGAAGTCGGCGAACCCAAAAGGCTTCCATAGCCTTAGCAACTCATGCCTAGAGCCTAGGGAGATTACTGACGCCATAAACAAGAGTGTCAAATTGTTAAGTCAACAACAGGAGTCACTGTGTACTTACTTCTCATGTGGGATCTGTCCTTAATGTGTTGTCCAATGTGAAGTAATGCTATAACTAGTACTGAAACAGAATTTTACACTTTGTGTTTCTGTGTGGGTGCAAACTGATGAAATCTTTACTTAATATATACTGAATTGATCTTCTGTATATAAAGATAATTGAAAATGAAAAAAAGAATAAATATCTATTTACTCAAACCTTTAATATTTCTTTATGATAAAACAGTCTAAAATACTATCTTTTACCTTGTTATAAAGAAATATCTAGTATATTAACATCTATAGTCACCCTACCACAGAATTCTTACTCTTGTCTAGGCAGGACTTAGTACCTGTTAATCAACCTTCCCTCTTTCCCCCTTTCCTCCCCAGCCTCTGGTAACCACCATTATTCTCTTAACTTCTGCAAGATCACCATTTTACAGACTCCACAAATTAGTGAGATCATGTGATACTTCTCTTTCTGTGCTTGATTTATTTATTATTTCACTTGGCACAGTGACCTTCAGTTCCATCCGTGTTGTGGCAATGGACAGGATTTTTATCCCTTTTATGGCCAAGTAGTATTCCATTGTGTGTATGTACCACAATTTCTTTACCCATTCATCAGTGAGTGAATACTTAGGTTGTTTCCATTTCTTGACTATTGTGAATAGTGCTGCAGTAAACATGGGACTGCACATGTCTCTTCAACAGACAAAATTCACTTCCCTTGGGTATATAACTAGGAGTGAGAATACTGTCTCTCATGGTAATTCTATTGTTTTCCACACCGGCTGTACTAATTTACATTCCCACCAACAACGTGTAAGGGTTCCCTTTTCCCCACATCCTCTCCAACAATTGTTTTTTTTTTTATTGTAGCCAAACTGGAGTGAGGTGATATCTCATAGTAATTTTGATTCATGTATGTGTTGGCCATTTGTTTGTCTTCCTTTGAGAATTTTTGAATATGTTTTAGAGCATCAAATTTACTTAAACATTTGTGAGAGGGACTTACTTAAGCAATGTAAGTAATTTAACCAAAAACATTTTCCAATTAAAACAAACTCTGGGGTGGGCATTGTGGTGCACAGATTAAGCCTCAGCTTTTGATGCCAGCATCTCATATCACAGTGCCAATTCGAGTCGTGCCCATTCTGCTTCTGATCCAGCTACCTGCTAGTGCACCAGGGAAGGCAACGAATGATGGCCCAGTTACTTGGGTCCCTGCCACCCATGTGCGAGACCCAGATGGAGTTCCTGTTGCTAGCTTAATCCTGGCCCATCCCCAGCTGTTGCAAGCATTTGGGGAGTGAACCAGTAGATGGAAGATCTGTCTCTCCCTGTCTCTTTCTGTCACTCTGCCTTTCAAATAAATATATTTATGTCTATTATATAAATAAATATATTTTATATAAATAAATGATATACTGTAAAGTTAAAAACATGTGTCACTTGAATTTTTATATGAAATATGTGACTTCAAAGAGATCTCATTTTTTATAGGTTACTTTGAGATATACAACTGTTTTGTTTCCTCCTCCTCCTGTTTCTGTGAGCCAACTCTTGTGTGCTGTTTAAACATTTCCATAGAGGCACTTGAAAGACTTGAGTGAACACTAGTTTAAACATTTCAGCGTTTCCTGGATGATAGTTTCATCAATTACTTGTTTTCTTTATCTCTTGTTGTTCTTATTTTCTTTCCTTTGATTCCGTGCCCTTAAACCCATGCTAATATATTTTCCTGCTAAACTCTTAAAGCCACTCATTTATCAATAATATGCATGTATTTTTTGAAGATTTATTGATTTGAAAGAGTGACAGGGAGAAATACACACACAAACACACATCTTCCATTCACTGGTTGATTCCCCAAATGGCCAGAAAGCCCCAAACCAGCTGCCTTGGTCTCCATCTAGGTTTCTCACATGTGGGTGCCAGGGTCCAAGTATTTGGACCATCTTCCACTGCTTTCCCAGGCACTTTATCAGGGAGTGGGATTGAAAGTGGAGCCTCTGTGAGTTGAAACAAGGTTCCAATACGGAATGCCAGCATTGCAGTGGCATCCTAACCTGCTGCACCACAATACTAGCCCCAGTGTGAATCTATTTTATTTATTGTTAGTAGTAGAATTTTCTCCCCAAAAGATCTCAAAGAGAAAGTTACAATGAAATTAACTTGAAACTTAAAGTGTATTTGATTTAAGATGTACAAATTGTGTTATCGAAGCCAATATTGTTTCAGTCACAAACATTTTTTTGAATACCCCCTATGTGCTCAGGTGCTAAGTCTGGCCCTGGGAATACAGAGCTGTTTAAGGACCTAATTTTTTAGTAGGACTCCAGATCAATGGTAATTAATTAGTTTAAATGTTAATTAATAGTAATTAGCAGGGCTATCCATGGTGAGATTCTCATCCCCATGGTGTTTTGTATTGTTTAGAGCAAAATTGGAATGGCCCTATTAGGTAACCTGAAAGGAAAATGAGTGCTGTTATTTTCTCATTAAGGAAAAGCCATCACAAGAGAGGCAGAGATTTGCCCACTGGTCATCAGTTTGGTATTGGTAACGCCAGAGTTAAAACCCGGTTCCCCTGATCCTTTAGGTCACTGCCCTCCTACTCTGTCATGTTGTTGGACTTTGTAGAATAATTTGAGAGCCACATTACTTTTATCAACTCCTCTGAACTATTCTTTTTCTGCAATTATCATTAGGGAAGATTTGATAATATTCAGCTTTTCTGTATTAATTAGTATCTTCATAAAGTTTACTTTATAGTACATGAAAGTTGTATGTGTGTGCATGTGTGTTATTAAGCTAGATTCTAAAAAATGAATGCTTTATTTTCCAAGACCTATCACTTGGATATGAAATAACAGCAGCAAAAATGATGATAAGAACAATAATAGTTAACTTTATTATGTGCTTGCTCTGTACCAGTCACTGTGTTTGAGTGCTTGGCTTTCATCACCTCATTTCATCCTCACAACAACCTGATAAGATGATGCCATTATCCCCACTTTAAGAATTAGGAAAATAGGAGTGTGAAGAGGGTAAGTTACTGGCTATAGATCACACAACTGGTAGGTATAGAGCTGGCTTTAAAACCTAAGATTGTAACATTAAAGCCAGTGATCTTAATCAGGTGTCAGAAGTGGATGCAAGTAAGCACTAGGGAAGATTATTTGACTTTTTCTTTCTAGAGCATCTTTATTCACTTTCAGTGGCAGGAGAGCTTGCTGTTTTATAGCTAAGCAATTACATAATATGAATGAGATTGTAATTGTTACACATGAGAATTGTGTTTTTAAATTAGTCCCATTCTATGTTTCTAGCATCTGAGGCCTAGTTTAAAACCCAGCTGTTTCAAAGCCACTCATTAACCAATTAATACCACTGTCTTGCAGTCTTTCCACCCCAAAATCCTTTTATGGCATACTTTATCACCCAGGAATAGTCTTTCTTCTATGACAGATATTAGAGTTCTTTTGTTTGTGTCTCTGCTAGAGTAAGTCCTTTACAACAGAGGCCATAGCATTTTTACTTTGATATGACCCATGGTATCTCACAGAATGAGATAATGCATATAGAAATGCTTTGAAAACTCTTAAAACTCTTTTAAGATTTATTTTATTTATTTTAAAGAGTTACAGAGAGGGAGGGAGAGACAAAGAAAGAAAGGTCTTCCATCTGCTGGTTCACTCCCCAAATGGCCGCAATGGCCAGAGGTAGGCTGGGCCAAAACCAGAGCCAGGAACTCCACCTAGGTCTCCTGCATGGGTGGTGGGGACCCATACATGTGGGATATCTTTTGCTGCTTTCCCAGGCACATTAGCAGGGCACTGCATCAGAAGTGGAGCAGCTGGGACCTGACCAGCATACATATAGAATGCTGGCATTGCAGGCAGCGGTTTAACCTACTCTGCCAGCACATAAAAACTCTTAAGCAGTTGGAAACAGTGCATAACAAATATTAGTGGGTGCATATTTTCTAATATATCTTATTGGGTAATACGTATGGTTTATGCTTTGAATAAATTTTTCTAAGAGTTTGCAGCTGGTGCTGTGGCGTAGCGGGTAAAGCCACCGCCTGCAGTGCCGGTGTCCCATGTGGGCACCGGTTCGAGTCCTGGCTGCTCCACTTCCAATCCGGCTCTCTGTTATGTCCTGGGAAAACAGTGGGAGGTGGCCTAAGTCCTTAGGTCCCTGCACCCATGTCGGAAGACCCAGAAGAGGCTACTGGATCCTGGCTTCGGATCAGCGCAGCTCTGGCCATCGTGGCCATTTGAGGAGTGAACCAGTGGATGGAAGACCTCTCTCTCTCTACCTCTCCTTCTCTCTCTGTGTAACTCTGCCTTTCAAATAAATAAATACATCTTAAAAAAAAGAGTTTGTGTAAAATTTGTTCTCTTGGCCTAATTTAGCTGTCCTCTGTCCTTTCAGTGTGTAGATGGAGTGTTAGGAGGTGAGGACTATAATCAGAACAACATCAATCAGTGGACTGCAAGCATAGTAGAACAATCCTTAACACACTTGGTTAAGTTGGGAAAAGCTTATAAATACATTGGTAAGTATCAGTTTTCCTCTACTCATCTTTGTCTTTGTGATTCTCTTTGAGTTTTGAAAACACATGACTTTTGACATAATCATCCAAAGATAATATAAATAATATCTAAAAGATATACATCATTCATTATGCAAAACTAGTTTAATCTCCTTTTCCTAAGTAGCATGAGCCTGAGCATTTGCATGGTTTTCTCTTGCCATTGAGACCCCTTCAGCTCTTATTGTCTTCCTTTCAGTAGCCCCACGCCTCTTTGTATGACTGTGAAATTCCACACCTACTGTCAAGTGGAATGTTTTCTGTGTTTGAATTTTGCCCACAGCACAAAGCACAGAATTGGACCCAGAATGTTCCTGCAAGGCAATCACCAATGGTTATAGCAATGATGTACAAACCAGCCAGATCCAGTAGGTTTAAGATTGTGATGGTAGATAATCAAAATAAGAGACTTTTCTTTTTTAAGAAAGTATTATATGGGGCCGGCACTGTGGCGCAGTGGGTTAAAGCCCTGGCCTGAAGCACCAGTATCCCATATGGGTGCCAGTTCTAGTCCCGGCTGCTCCTCTTCTGATCCAGCTCTCTGCTATGGCCTGGGAAGGCAATAGAAGATGGTCCAAGTCCTTGGGCCCCTGCACCCACATGGGAGACCTGCAAGAAGCTCCTGGCTCCTGGCTTCTAGATTCTGATCAGCGTAGCTCGGGCCGTTGTAGCCAATTGGGGAGTGAACCATCGGATGGAAGACCTCTCTCTCTGTAACTCTAATCTTCAAATAAATAAATAAATCTTTTTTAAAAAAGAAAGTTTATTATTTATTTGAAAGAGTAAAAAAGAGAGAGAAACAAAGAGATCTTCCATCCACTAGTTCACTCCCCAAGTGGCTGCAATGGCCAGGGCTGGGACAGGTCAAAGACAGGAGCGTGGAATTCCATCCATGTTTTCTATGTGGGTGGCAGGGACCCAAGCACTTGAGCCATCTTCTGCTTTCCCAGGTACATCAGCAGGGAGCTGGATCAGAAGTGTAGTAATCAGAATTTGAACCAGTGCACCACAACAGTTTTAATTTTTTCAATCTACTTGCCGAATTCTTTGTTTTCCATTGTTTTTTCCACTTTTAGAGCTGTGAACTCAAGCAGTTCATTGTTGGCTCACTTTCCCTTTTTTGTAAGTGTCCTCACTTTGACTTTATTTGTAGTGACCTGTGCAGTGGTCCAGAGGAGTGCATATGGCTTTCATACCGCCAGTTCATGCTTTTGGGATACTACTTCTGATGGTAAGAGACTTAAGGCTGATTCACACAAAATTGAATTTCTAGTTAATTGAACAGGGCACTTTTTATCAAATACTTATTTATATCTGATTAAATTCTATAAAGACTTTGTCAACAGAATTGCTTTGCACTTACAATAAGTATGCCTTCTGACCAGTATGAAATGTGAAGACTTAAAAGGTATAAGGAAATAAGATATTAAAGCCTATATATACAATATCTATAGAATATAAATATATATTTTATGCACACACACTCCATGGTGATTTGCATGTTTTCCTGATATTTCAAAGTTTTTTTTGTGTGTTTTCAGGAACCTGTACTGTAAGATGGGAGAATCGAACCATGAACTGCATTGTCAACGTTTTTGCCATTGCAATTGTCCTGTAACTGACTAACAATGTTGGGTTAAAAAACCATTAACTTAAGAATTTGTCAGTGTATCCTTTCTGAAATGCATAATAGTTACTTACAAATATGCTAGGTGACAAGTGTGCAATAAGCTTCAGCTATCAACAAAAACTGAATATTATAAGCAAGCAATCTCATAGTATGTTGGCAGATTATATTGTATTCTATACAGTATCATTTAGATAGGGAAAATTGAATGTTGGTGAAAACTAATGTTCAAAAACTAAATGCAGAACTATGGCATGACTTGAACATCTAATCTTATATTTATACCAGCTTTTCACTAACATCACTATGTACTTAAGGAGATGGAAGAATCCATTCAGATAATGAAATTTCCTTTCATTTAGAGAACTTAACAGGGATAACTGTATGAACAAAAAAGCTACAGAGATAAATGTGGAGAAAATAATATCAATTTATTAATACGTCTTTTTTATTTCTTCCCCTTAGTCATATATAATATTTAGTGAGAAGCAATTTTACTTTTATTTCTATAAATTAATATTACAGTACTAACTATAATTAACCTGTTTACTTTTTCTGAGAATTGATAAATCAACTTTTTTTATTATTTCAAATTAGGACAAATTAAATCTGATGACTCAAATTTCCTAGTTAAGCAAAATTAGTTACCAGTATGATGAACAGTATATGACTCAAACAGCTGCCTTATAATTCATTCATTGAATGCAAAACAAAAATATGCTGAATTCCTATTATGAGCCTGTTTCTCTGGTAGGCATTACAATTATCAAGTGGTATTCAAATGCTAACTCCTTTTGGCAACTATTATGTTGGAAAACTATCATCTATGTTTGGGGAAAATAAAAGTTGTTTTACAGGTGAGGTAAATAGTGAATCTGGTTATCCATGTAGAAGTAAGCAAAATGAAAGGCACTTATTGGTGACAAAATTATAGAAGTAATTTTAAGAGTTGCTTATAGCGAGTTAAAATGCTTAAATTATGCAACTCTTAGTTAAAGGCCTTATTCGTAGTCTTAAATATACAAGTAGTAAATTTTTTTGCTTTAATTGCAATCATCTGTAAATCTAAATATATATATGGGGTTCAACTGAGTGAAGTATAAGTTGTAAGTATACAATCATTAGCAGGTTATCTAATATCTCAGGGCTTATGGAATGTAGTTAAATTTCTTAATAAAATGAAAAATTAGGGTACACAGCTGACCACCAAATGTGAAGTCAATCTGCTGTTTAACCTTGAAAACAATCAATTTTGCATATTATCACTGATACAAACACATATACAGAATGGAACCATGATTCATTGAATTTGGGAGAAAGAAGGAAAGCGTAAGATTAGCATTGACAGTATTAAGGTAGTATTCTTTTAGGAATACGATGTGCAAGTTTGATATTTTGCTGAATAACAATAATTGTTCAGTGAAGAATCAGAAAATTAAAGAATGGGTTTAATGCAGTGATCTATGTTCTTTAAAAAAAAAAGCTCATGAAAAATTTTCAGTCATGACCCTCATGTTACTTAATGTTGCTGACTGTTGTGCCCTTGAAAATTATAATAGTGACCAAAATATCTGTGCAGTTAAGGCTTGTTTTTGATTATTGTTGTTGAAGCCTAATTTTTTTTTTTAAAAAAGCATAATGAAATCATACTTCGTGGACTTGATACCTGCTCTGTTACTAGTGAAAATATAATAAAGATTATCTTCCTGTGCTGTACTTCTACTTCTGGATGATCGTTCAGTAATGAAAGGGAGGTACCATGCTTTCTCTAAGAAATTTTAAATAAGAGAAATGGGGAACAAAGGTGAATATCGAACCACATACATTTATTATGCACAATAAATATCACTAAAATAACAACCTAAGTCCAGTATTCATGTTATAATTAACAGTTTCTATTTCTGTTTATATTTTATGATTTTAATATAAAATTTTATTTAAAAATCAGTGTAAAATATATTTGGAACTATTTATTAGCTTTTAATGATTATTTTAGGCAAAGATTTTTTTCCCTATTTACTAACTTAAAAATAGAGTTGTTACTTTTTTTTAAATTAATGGCTTTAAGTGTGTAATATTAGGGTATTTAAATTAACTACTAAGTTGGATTTTTAAAAGCTATAATTTATGTTTGTAAAGTACCAATAAACTGCCTACATGATGGCAACATCTCATTACATTTTCTCTAGTAAAATGTACTTTAATGCTTTTCTTTGGAAGTTAGATATTACCTAATTGTTAATCACTGAATGTATTTTCACCACCTACATTTATCATTATATTTTTAAAGTTATCCTCTGATGTTTAGGATTACATTTTTTCAAAGTTTGAGTAAAAATAATTGTCTACTCTTGATAATAGTTTTTTTAAAAGTGAGAGAAAAGAATCTGTACTCTTTATGGCGAAGGAATTAGGTCTGTCTTAGCAGCTATCAAGGCAAAGTTTGAGAGATGAGCTGAAAATTTTACCCATATATTAGAATTTACCTAAGGAGAATTTATTTAATATCCAAAAGGTGGAGCTGTGTTTGATATTAAAGAGGTTCATAGATCCAATATTGAATAATTCTGTAAAGTAATCCTTTGCACATTCATGAAATTCTCTATAAATGATATTAACCACACTTCCCTGATAGGATTTTGAAGGCCATCATCAATATGCATTAACCTCAGTGGTCCAAGAGATTCTAGCCCACTTTGTCTAGCCGCAAACCATGTAATTTTGCAGTTAATACAAGAAGTGGCCCCACTTCTTGTCTTTCTTTGCCATCCTTGGGTATGTGCAGTACATCAGTCATCTAGTTAATGGACCCTAATTGCTTCATGAAAAATGCCTCTTACCAAATGTTTTCTGAAGATCTCAAGGGGATAAAGCTAAATGTTATATAGACATTGTACAGACAGCACCACTGGTATAGTATGTATCATCAACATAGGAGACAATGCAGTAACTACCTCCCTCTGGAGCCCTTATAAGATAGCCCCCCAAAGACAAATATATGTTTTTCCTAATTTGTGGTAACTAAGATACAGAGTACAAAAAAATAACACATATGAGTAAAATTGACATTTTGAGATTTGATTATTGTTTATAGCCCTTATCTGTACTCCTGAGGAACAGTGGTTTTTCTCCATAGTACTTGATAAATTCTTTATTTAGTGGAGGGTTAAGCTTATGATTATAAAATAAATTGAAAGTACGTCATTGCAAAAGTTAAAAGGAAAATAAGGAAGCAAGAGGGAGGGTAGGGTGAGAAGTATTATGTTCTTTAAACTATATATATGAAATACATGAAATTTTCTCTCTTTATGTAAATAAAAAAATTAAAAGATGAAGGCTGTGGGGCCGGCACCGTGGCTCACTTGGTTAGTTCTCTACCTGCGGCACCAGCATCCCGTATGGGCG